GGCAGGCAAAAACATGTCCTTGCCTAGTTTGGGGGCTGTGCTTAAAATGTCTGTTTTGTTCTTAAAGTTGTTATAGTGTCATTATGATCTGGCTTGTTTATGTGCCATCCAAAGGTCAAACCGAAACCTGGCTGGTAGTGAACAATATGCAAAGTAGTTCATTTCTCAAGCCTTTTGAAGTTTTGATTCTTCTCTATTTGACACACACACACCCTGGAGGGTAGTGTTTCAGGAATTCATACATTGCTTTAAAGAATCTCCTCCTCATTCTCTTCTCTTTTGTTCTCCCTCTGTCCCTAATTGGGAAGGAAAGAAATGTAATCTTCTGTCTGCCATTTATTTGCTTACTGCAGAGTGGATCTAGTTGACTGGGCTGTATCCTGCAGTCTCTGTAATTCACCGCACCCGATGGGGTAGAAGGCAGAAGTAGCCTATTGGAGCTCATTGTCTTACTTCAGCTGAGGACCAAGAGCAGTCCTGGAGCACCTAGGGTTGAGGGTGCGAGAAACTGTCTCCACTTGCATTAGTTCAGGGCAGGAATAACTGACAGGGTGCCATTTTATTTGAATTTAAAAGAGTATTGGATTCTGTTGATCATTTTCTACTCCTTAGAGTAGAATACTTACTTTCTAGCATTTCAGTCTTACTTAGTTCTCCCTCTACCTGCATCATCTTTGCTGTTTCCTTTTCATTAGAGTGATTTCTATATGTAGAAATCTTCCCTGTCTCTGTCTTCAAGCCTCTTGTTTTTTCTTCCTTACTCATTTACTGGTTAATCACCTCTTGTAACTCACCATAAATACACTAAGGACTGCTGCATTGATGAAGTCAATCAGGACCTTTTCCTTGGACACGGGTCGTTGGCAGACTTTCCCACTGCACTTACCTACTCAGCATCTTTTGGGGAACCAATAGTTGACTTGAATTAATATATTCAGAACCCAAATCCTGGTCTTTCTCCCCAAACTTACTCTACTTTCAGCTTTCTATAGCATAAGTAATAACAACTGCATCATTTAAGTTTCCCAGGACAAAAACATTGGTGTTATTGTTGATTCCTCTCATTATGTCACACCCCAAATCCAATCTGTCAGTGAAAATAGCAGCCAACTGCTCTACCTTCAGCATGAATCCTTAAAAATATAAGATAAATCAGCACTTAGTTCAAAATTCTCAGAGCCTTCTTGGACAAGTACTTTGAAAAATTAAGACTCCTTCTACTTGACTACATGGCCTTGTATGATGTCACCTATTACTCTCTATTTTCATTTCTGCTGCTTTAGTGCTGTGGGTATCTACGATGTTCACTATGGTTCTTAATCATCCTAAAAAAAAACTATTAAACTTCTGCAATAGGACTGTAGTACTGAGATCAAGCTATCAGCATACATTTGACTCAGATCATAGCTAATTCTTTAACTTTTCTTATTTTTAAAATTCATTTTAAAATATACACAAAGTAAAATTACTCTTGGCTTTGTAAAATCCTATAGATTTTCCTTATTTTTACACCTCTTGAGGTAATGTCATTTTATTAGTATCAAAATAAATTAAGTCTTGTTGACTACCCTGTGGAAAAAACTCAATACATACACAATGCTGTCTTTTTAGTTTGTTTATTATTTTCTACAGCACTTACAGCTACCTGACATTCTATTTTTTTTTTTTTTGAGACAGAGTTTCACTATGTTGCCCTCAGTAGAGTGCTGTGACATCACAGCTCACAGCAACCTCAAACTCTTGGGCTGAAGTGATTCTCATGCCTCAGCCTCCCAAGTAGCTGGGACTACAGGCGCCCATCACAATGCCAGCTATTTTTTGGTTCTAGTTGTCATTTGTCATTGTTGTTTGTCAGGTTCAGGCTGGTTTTGAACCAGCCAGCTCCAATGTATGTGTCTGGTGCCCTAGCCACTGAGCTATAGGCACGGGTCCCATTCTATGTTTTATATAATGTTTTATAGCTTATTTTATAGAATGTATCTTTCACATGGAGAAACTGTTTTTCTGTTTTTTTCCTAATACCTAGAACAATGCCTTTCACTTTGTAAATTTATAGTGAATTAATGAATAAAATATGCACCTAAATCTCAATGACAATTTACCTAGGCTCTAGTTTTACACTGTCCACCCAAATTAGAATTTCTATGTCTATTCTAAAGACAATCATTCTAAATTGATGAGTGCCACCAGGCCTGATGTGAAATATATTTGAAGAAACTTTTCCTAAAAATTCTTCATTAAAATACAGTCAGTCATTTTAGAAAGAAAATTCATGGGGAAAGCACCAAGTGATAAGAGTACTATAAAACAATTGTCTTTTAAACTTTATTTCTTAATATGTTGAAGCCTTATACTGGTTAAAAAAAAGAGCATAGTTTATGGAAGAAAGAATTTTATATCTAAGGTCATTTGAAATAGCAATGTTCCTAGTTAAGAGTTTCTTGATTGAAAATTCAGTGAAAAGAACAGATAACATACCTCCTCTAGTTACTAATTAATAAGAACATATTACAATTTTACTGAATATGGTCTTTCTTGTTTCTAGTGAATCTAGATAGTATTTCTTCACAACCAAGTCAATTAATCAACAATAAAAGAATCATTCACATATGCAATGTTTTGTTTTCAATTTGTATACCAATGTGTTTTATAAATTAGAAATAAATTAACAAGAAAATGACTTTTTATTATAGAATAATTACTTGGTATCACTTCAGTCTTTTAGAAATGTACAATATGTATCATACAGGATTTTAAAAACTATAACACTAGTCTGACAGAGTGGGGATTAAATGTTATCTTTTCACTTAATATTTTGTGACTAACTTTTAAGTCTCTCTAAATACTGGTATACATATAAATATACATCTACATATACATATTATATGAAAGCCTGTGTTTATATGTAAAATTATAATACGCAGTATGGAACAGATATGTTTCTTGTCTATTATATCTTGTATAATTGCAGAGATCATACATGACTTTCTTATTGCAATTATAGTACAATTGTTTCCTTTCTTAAAATGTGCGTACATTTTTGGCCCCCTTTGTGTATATGGAATAGATTATCTCTCATATTATTATGAGAAATAAATGAGATAATGCATTTAAAGTGCTCACCACAGAGGTGGTGCATAGTATGCTTCTAACAAAGAAGCAGTCTATTATTAACATTTTTCAATGTGTGGACATATTTCTCAAATACAGATACTTTTTACTAGATCTTAAAATGTTAATTTAAAAACAATTTCCAACTGGACCAAGTTAACAAATGTAAAGATTTTCAATCCATTAATATTTTTTTCCTTGACACTCTTGACAATGTCCTTTGTACATTGCATGTATGAAATGATAATTCTGCATGTTCTCACACATAATTGATTACTTAACCAACTGCTCCTGAAGGGCTGAATAATAAATGGAAGAGAGGTGAAAGTCACTTCCTATATGGAGAACGTGGTATAATATATTCTTCCTCTTAATATGAATGACATTCTCTAGTGGAAATAAAGAACATAAATGGTTTTATAGGAATCCTTTATGTGTAAATCTTATGAAAAATCATCATACTCCATGCCATTAACCATTAACAAGGAAAAGAGCAAACATAATTGCAGTATAAATGAGAATTATTGTAACAATTTTTTCCATTACTATGTGGTAATGCTATTTGTATTTGTGCTTCATTGCTAAATTTGGGAATGGATGATACCTTAGTTAACTGACATTGAACTCTGTCAGAAAGAAACCATGCACAGCATCAATAGAAAAGTTAAACATCAAAATTATTGATTGTATCTAGCAAATATGTGTTACATAGATACTTTCCAATCAAATTTATTTAATTAGTGGATAAATACAAATGAATACTATAAAATTTCTTGATATAAAATAAATTATTTTACAATAAATTATAATTTAGTAATTTTATTAAATTATTTAATATTTATTAAATATTTTGTTAAATAATTTAATAAATTTGAAATAAATTATAGGTTTACATTGACACTTAGAACAAAAAGTATAAATATAATAAATCATAAGCTATCATTAACACTTAGGACAAAAGAATAGAAAGTAAGAGGAAATCAAGAGTTAAAGGTATGTCAGTTGAAGAAAGGCAATACAAGTGACTAATAACACAACGGAATGCCAAATCTTATTGCATCAAGAGAAAACATTCTAAATATTTTCATGTTTCAGCAGAATTATATCTTTGTCAGTAAAAACTGACAGAAATTTGTGCTCAATAACTAAATGGGAAGCATGTTTTGGAAGTTAGAGGTAGTAAATTGCTCCAAAAAATATTTCCTACATTCCAGTTGATAATAAATTTGATAACTTAGATAAAATGGACCAATTTCTTGAAAGATACAATCTACAGAAATGTACACAAGAAGTTATAGATAATCTGAATAGGCCTATATCTATTAAAGAAATTGAATCAATGCTTAATTACTATTGAAAAGGGAATACACCAGGCTCAGATGAGTTCACTGGTGAATTCTCCCCCACATTTAAGGAACAAATTATACTAATTATCTATAATATGTTCTTGAAAATAGAAGCAGAAGAAATAATTTCTAACTTATTACTAAAGGACAGAATTACCCCAAACCAAGGAAAAAGACATTACAAGAAAGGAAAATCACAGATAATATGTCATGTGCAAAGTTGCAAAAATCTTCAAAATAATATTAACAAATTGTGTCTAATAGTATATGAAAATAATTATATCCCATGATAAAATGAGATTTATTCCATTGTGCTTAAAAATAAATTGTATTCTCAATATTTTTCCTAAATCAACAGTATGTCACCTTTGTCATAGAATCAGTGACTTTTTATGTATAGTTGCGTTTCCAAATTATTCTTCCATTGCTCTATTTTTCTGTCCTTTACAATGAACTTACAGCATGAATATATGATTGGGCCTTTATTATTCTACAAAGTTGTCTTGATTCACTGCAGAGATCGGATTCTCACTCCCCTTCCTCTGCGACCATGTCTGACAAACCAGATACGGCTGAGATTGAGAAATTTGATAAGTCTAAATTGAAGAAGATGGAAACACAAGAGAAAAATCCACTGCCTTCCAAAGAAATGATCCAACAGGAGAAGCAAGCAAGCGAGTCTTATTAGTGCAGGACAGGTGGCACCATGACCTGCCATGTTAGACCTGATGGTGTTGAGCTGTGGATGGCAGGAGGAACCAGCTTTCTGCAAGGGCCAGACACCTGCAGGGGAGACACTAGCCCCTTGCTGTCTCCTCTCCAGGCACTTCTGGCTGGTCAATTTCATGGATGACACCTTGCTGTCTCCTCATGTGAGTTTCCAGGGCCTGAGAGTTCTAGCCCTTGCTACTGATTGGGCAACTAACTGTAACTGACGAAGACCCACACCCTAAAAGTCAACACTGAGTTCTGGCAAAACAACCCCTTGCTACTATATAAACCCCTGAGCAGAGAGCCCAAGGACAACCTTGAAGAGGGAGCAGGAGAACTTATTCCCCTCCTGGGCTCTCTCTGCCAGGAGCTTTGGGTTTTTTGTAAGTTGTAATTTTTGTTTCTGTGAATAAATCCTGTTTTACCACTGATCCTGTGGTCCATGGATTCATTCTTCTAATGGCTGAGACCAAGAACCTGAAATACCTGTATCAGATTTGGCGAGCCAGCCAGGAGAGAAGATGAAGTTTTGGTATCAATAATGAGACAAGGATGGCGCCTGTGGCTCAAGGAGTAGGGCATCAGCCCCATATACTGGGGGTAGAAGGTTCGAACCCTGCCAGACCAAAACTGAAAACAAACAAACAAACATGAGGTGAGTGCTGCCAAGATGTCCTGTACAATCCACAAGCCTTGCCTTTTAATTTTACTTCTTTTTCTGTTTAACTTTGTAAGATGCAAAGAGGTTGGATCAAGTTTAAATGACTGTGCTGCTCTTTTCACATCAAAGTATCCAGAACTACTGACAATGAAGGCCACGCCTGTCTCTACCATCTGCCTGTCTGGCTGGCAGGAAAGGAAAAGAACTTGTATGTCGGGGAAGAAAGATTGGGTGGGACGACAGTGAAATCTGAGTGAAAACTAAGCTGGCCCAGGGTTTCCTGTAGACTGTAAAATGCAGTTTAATCAGAGTGCCATTTTTTTTTTGTTCAAATTATTTTAATTATTGGAATGTACAATTTTTTTAATAATGCAAATACAAAGTTTTAAAACCTGATTTAAAAAAAAAATTCTTGCTTTTTTGCATCGCTTCCTAGCGCTTTTAAAATAAATATCAGAAACTCAAACTCAGCCCTGGCCAAACTGCAACAAACAAATAGCCAGGCATTGTGCTGGGCACCTGTAGTCCCAGCTACTCAGAAGGCTGAGGCAAGAGGATTACCTAAGGTTGCTGTGAGCTGTGATGGCACAACACTGTACCAACAGTGATAAGTGAGACTCTGTCTCTAAAAATAAATAAATAAATAAAATAAATATTAGAAACTACCTCTTTTATGTTTATATGGATGGAACTGGAACATATCCTACTTAGGAAAGTATCTCAAGAGTGGAGGAAAAAGTATCCAATGTATTCAGTACTATTATGAAACTAATTTACAATAACTCACACTTTCAGATGAAGAATAGATCAAACTATGGTCCAAGATGAAGGAGGGAGGGGGGAATGGAAGGGGAGAGGGATGGAAAGAGGGTGAGTGGTGGGATCACACCTGTGGTGCATATTGCAAAGGTACCTATTGGATCTATTAAGTATAGAGTATAAATATCTTATCACAATAATTAAGTAAATGAGGTGAGGGTTGTATTTACCAGTATGATGTGAGCATTCCAAATTTTATATGAAATCAGCACATTTTACCCCATAAATGTGTATGTATACATGACATACCTCTTTATGATTTAATAAAAAAAAAATGAAAAAAAATATTAGAAACAGATTGTTATTTTCCATCAAATATAAGGTACTGGAGATTTTAATGCAATTGCATGGAATCTTTAGGTCAAATTCAGTTGGATTAATGCCTTCATCATGTTGAGTCTCCTGTTCTACTATCCTGGTATTTAGATATTCTTTAATATAATTTAATATTGTGAGGACAGGACATTCTCTATAATATGTCCTTAGGCTTTGGATGATCTCTCTCTTCAGAGAAGGTTTATTTTACTCCCTCTTAGGCAGATAGAAATGCGTATTTAAATCTGGATTGCAATTTTTGGGAGACTCAGTCTAACTCTGGGTTAACCCTGCTCCTATGATTTAGTTTTCCAAAAGACTTAATGGAGCGCTTTCCTTTAATACTGATCTAGAAACGTGTGTGCTCTCTCAACACTGTAGTCCCCCTATATCTTGTCCTGTACAGTTTATGAAGTATCACAGACTCACAATCCTGAATCTTGACTTTCCCAAATTTGGCTGACTGATAACCCAAACTTTAATTTCTGTTTCTAAAACCCTATGAGATTTCCAGAAGTTCTAGTTTTCATACCTTTATCAAGACCCTTTGTCTACAATCTCAGTTGCTAACTACCCAGATGTCTCAAAACACTTGTAAAAAGAATCCATTTCTCTCAATAGCTTGAAATGAGACATTACTGCATGATAAAATTTCATGTGCTATTTACTGTCTTTCTGGTTTTACTATTCTGATCTATCTTTCCATGTTAAATTGCCATCTTTTTAAAAAAATTTGGAATTAAAAAAATTTCTTGTTGGCAGAGTCAAATATGTTGTTTTGTAGAAATTTTTATATTTGCCAGTGAAACGATTTTTGTGTTTTTCTTTGTGGCTTTTCAATGTTCAAGAATATTTTATTTATGCTTAAAAATAAATTGTGTTGTCACTATTTTTTTCTAAATCCAATTTAAATGTAGATTGAGTGTCCTTATTCTGAAAATCCAAAGTTCTGTAAGTCCAAAAATGTTGGGGCACCAAGGAGTGACAGACAAGCCCTGACTGCTTTAGAGCAGCCCTGGCTGTCCTACCTGCCCTTTAGCTATTTGTAATTCTAAAATCCCCACCTGGTGGAAGATTTTGGTATGAGTAACATAGGACAGGTTGCAGGGCAGGAAACCATGATGGTGCTGAGCTTGCAGTGATTGGTTTCACTGTGAACAAGCAAAGATACAACGTAAAAACTTCCCCTTTCTCCCTGGGAAGAGCTCTGCGAAGCCTACCACAGGAGGGCAGATGTATATTTTGTTAGCATGAAACTCCAGTGGAAGAAATGTTTGTGCCACCCAGGCTCCAGCACCCTAAGTAACCTCTAATAAACTCATCTAACTCACCAAGCTGGACTTGTCAGGCATTGGTTTCCTGGTTTCCTCTTAGCTTGGGGGGCAGTTTTTCTATACTGTCCTGATTTTTCTCCAAAACATCCTTCCAGAGTTTCATGATGTTCTCTCTATCGGAATTCTTTTTCATAGCACTATCAATCATTTCCAGAGAGTAGTGGGTATAATGAGCCTTAAAGATACTTATGGTCCTCTGATGCAAAGGTTGAATTAGAACTATTTTGTTTAAGGGCAAGTAGGCCTCTTCAACATAACATCTTCAGTGTTGAAACCATAGGGTTCTGGTTGATCCACAGCACTCTTGTATTACCTGAACTTTAAATTGAAGTTCATTACTGGTGAGGTACTCCCTGACATCTGAGACAAAGTGTCCATAGAACCAATGAGGAAAAGGAGTTCTCATTGTTTAGACACTCTTGTTGTATAACGAAAAGGCCAGCAGTTTCTATTTATTTATTTATTTTTCTCTTCAAGGCTCAGGTTTAAGAGCAGTTTTTAGATAAGGGCAGTCCTGATCACAAAATGAACTGCGTTTTACACAACAGTAGTTAGCCCGTCCCTTCCTGCCTTAGTTTGTGGTGCTCACTTCCCTTCCTTACTAATATAATAAATGTCCTTTGTGGCATTTTTTAAAATCCAGAATGTGGCACTTTCATCTGCACTGAAAACCTCTTCATGCAGTATCCTTTCTCCTCAATGATTTTCTTAATAGTGTCTGGAAACGTGTCTCTGCCTCTTGGGTTGCAGAAACTGCTTCTCCTGTTATCTTGGCATTTTTTAAACCAAACCTATTCCTAAAATTATCAAAACATCTCTTACTGACATTTAATTCTCCGGCTTTAGATACATTACCTTCCTTTTGTTACTGGAATTTATTTTTTCAATAGGTCCTTGGGAATTCCAAGAATAAACCCACGGACCACACATCAGTGGTAAGAGAGGATTTATTATACAGAAAATAATACAGAAAAAGCACCAGAGCTCCTGGAAGAGGGAAAGACTTAAGTTAGTAAGTCTCTACTTGGGTCCTGTGTCTAGGGGTATATATAGTCACATGTATCCTTTGTAGTTACATTTGGCCAGGCTGAGGCAGGTGCATTGCTTGAGCTCAGGAGTTCAGACCCCCTGAGCAAGAGCAAGACCCATATCTCTAAAAATAGCCAGCTATTGTCAAGGGCACTGGTAGTTTCAGCTTACTTGGGACCTGAAGCAAGAGAATCACTTGAGCTCAAGAATTTGATGTTGCTATCACTAGAATTTCTTTCTTCAGTATGTCCTTGGTCTTGAGATTTGAAGAATAAACCCACAGACCACAGATCAGTGGTAAGATAGGATTTATTTTACAGAAAAAGCACCAGAACTTCTGGAAGAGGGAATAAACAAGTCAGAAAAAAAATCTCCCCTTGGGTCTTTTGTCTAGGGGTATATACACAGCCCAACAAATAAATGGATACAATCCCTTCCACTGGAGGCAAAGTCAGTGCATTCCCAGGCCTAGGAAACTTACACGAATTGAACCAGGCCTGAGAAAAGTGGGGAGGACAGCAACAACACTCCCAGGGCACAGACAGCAGGCCCTCTGCTCCTCCCCTCAGCTGCACTGGCTGGGTCACCACCTGCCCTTTATCATCAACTCCTTGCCACGCTATCAAGGGCATCAAAGTGAGACTGTGTCTCCAAAAAAAAAAAAAATTGAAATTATGAAAGGTTTTATTTTATTTCCACATTTGAAAATTGATCCTGGGATTTTTTTTTAATTTAATTTTTAATTAAAGCATAACTGTATACATTTATGGAGTACAGGGTGATGATTTGATATACAATGTGGAGTGCTTAATTCAAACT